TGATTACATATTAACATAATATGAGTCACTCTTACGTGATATGCATAGCCGCAAAGTTGCACATTGAATACAAGTGACTCCAATAAAGTCAATCACAGCCGATTATGGCAATGATGACTAGAATCTGGATTACATTTCATTTTGATGTTACATGCGTTCGCTACTTCGTCTCTGTGATCGGCGCACTGTTCGATATAAAAGGTAGCCAATTTTATATAAATTATAACATTGGACAACTTGCACATCGCCCTCTAGTCCCATAGTCCATTTTTGTGAATACCTATATAATGTGTATATAGATAACACCCAGACATATACAACCTGCCGTACTCGGGGGATTCTTAGTAATGTGGATGATGACCCCATTGCTAGCTACGTAACATGTCAGGTTAACCTCCACGCGGATCCCCCTAGAGACCATCACGAAATTCCTGGTGAATTTGACGCAATAGGCTAACTGACCTCATGCTCATCTTATCACTCTTCATTGGTGGCCCACAAGCGTAATATCTTAGCGCAAACGGGTGTACCTTTCCATTACCATCAATTAAAAAAAACAGTCGTACTTGTGAATACAAATGTTTACATACGAGGAATCTAACACGCGACCATTAGAAGTTAGGTGGTGTGCTTAAGCGATACACAGAAGACGTTATTTAAATACCTCTATGTTAAATAATTTACAACAGATGATGAATTTTATTATAGTATACTGGACCTTAAGTGTAGTATGTTTGCTGTAAAATATTGCAAAATTGTATAATACAATATAAAAAGACACCAAAGTATATCCTGGCTTATATGTATATACCTACTTAACTTACTTATCTTTAGTTTTATATATGTTTCATATATATCCGATCCATTTACTTTTATATCTTTCCGGTTATACACTGTAGCTATTTAATTTTTCGAATTTATAACCCGCATTGTATAAAATCATCAACCTACCTACCATTTAGCAGGTTTATTCCACCGATCTGTATAATAATGTATTTATTTATAGTTTATAGGTACATTTACCTCAACATCAATTCCACATATGTGTGTAAACCTATGGGTTTAGTCTATTAACTATCTAAATATTTAATGCATTCTTAATACCTACAATGAAGTTTATTATAAAAACTTCCATAATACAACTATGTTGTTAACAACACCATGACGCACAATTTAAATAATATACGTATGTATGTAAAAAAGTTATAGATAAGTCGACCGCTGATATTTGACCATAAAGAGTAGGTATCTTTTTATATCACATTTTAAAATTCCACTAATTTACGTTGGTACTTTAGTTACAAGGAAGAAAAATTAAAAACCTGTTCATTCGCTTGTTTGGCCTTCGGAAATCGGATTAGTAATATTGCTAAAACCGATTCGTTTCCATCCTATAGATGGAATATTTAGGACTATAAGGCTCCATCAAATATGAGAAAATACCATATCCATTCCATGACATTTGATAAGTCACGAGAACGGGAAAGATGTCAAGTACTCTAGAATTTGAGAAATCTTACGAGAGTTGGACATGTATGAAAACTCGGACATACCTAATTACGCGCCCTGATATTCGAACTAACAATACTCCATAACTGATCTCTTTGTAAGTAGATTGTAATAGAACAAACAAAATTTTAAGTTATACTTACCACAAATTATTAGTTAAAGTAACATACAAATCAGTTAAGTTGTTTCTGAGATTAGCAGGCACAAATGCACAGTTAAACAGTAAAAAACAGTAAAAAATCTAATAATCATTGCTTTGGCCTATTAGGTGGATAAAGTGCTCCAATAATAGTTTTCTCTTATATCTTAACTTTACAGACGGCGATCAGTGTTTATTAACGCTTTCTTATTATTTATATTTTTTATTAAACGTCTTTATGTTTTTTTAGAAATGTACTTCGGAATATTGCTATTAAGTAAACTCGAGCAATGTCTTTGTCCGCTAACTAACATCTCTAGCATAGCATTAGGTTGGCTTGAAGAGATCTCTTTCAGAGAGCCCATCCTTGTTTAAACTTTTGTGTAATAATCTTTATTTATTAACGTTACAAGGGCAATAAAGTACATTATATCAGTAACAATTTTAGTATATGTATGGAATACAAGATACTATATTCTATAATAATTAATATAGATATTATAATGCATTACATTATTACTGATGTCCATGTTACACGCGGGTGATCGAGATAAGAATGCACGGATGCAACACAAATATTTTATAGGTTAAATATTAATAATACACTGCAACAAAAAATAATTTTAAGACTTCTTTTTTTACTTCGTCATGTCCATATTTTGGCAATTATAAATTAATAATTATGATAATAATAAACTTTAACAAAATTAAAAAAAATTTAATGTAAGTACATACAACTGCGCTACTGTAAAGCTTACACTTAATTTTTTTAAATAGGTAGTTCTCAAATTTTCACGTTTTTTTTAGATATTTTATGTCGCTAACTCTCAAGTGTCAAGCAAAACTCATTGTGTTCTAAGAATATCCTAGACTAGCATACTTAGTTTGACAGTTCAAACCAAAAATAATAATTACCTACACTTCCAAATAGCAATGGTAGACAATTCATAATTTATGAATAGACACTTGTACGTAATCCGTGTAATTTATTTCCCCAAAAATTGAAGTTCCGCCGAAATTTACATAAGGATCAAGATCAAAGATCAAGTCGGGATTAAACCTTAACGATTGCTAAAAGCATATAAATTACAATACAGCGAACTCATTTAATACTACCCAACTTATTTAATAACATCTTCAAATGATTTATTATTTTACTATTACATTAAATAATATTTGAATTATATTTATTACTAGTATTTACATAACCTAATTGTACAACTAAGAACCTAAAATTAAAAATCTTAAAAAAATATAATATGATGACTAAAATATATTATTAAAAGGGGTTCCTTTAGGCAAAGTTCCGAAAATACTGGCAGCGTTCCCTTTTTGAATAGCTAGACTAATTCTTTGTACAAGATATCTGCCAGCTCTTCGGTCTTTTGTGATGTCGACTAACCTTTTCGTTATTTCTTTAAAAAGTCTTATAGCGCTAGGACCCCACGGACCAAGGGTCTCGACACCGAATGGGACAAATTCATATTCGGAGCCTAGACCCCTGTATTTACATGTTTTGGCTTTTTCAGCCGCTTCACATGCCGCACCAGCTCTCTGTTCTCTGTTGCTCTCTCAAATTCAAATTCATATTCAAAATATCTTTATTCATGTAGGTCTATTACAGGCAGTTACTATTACATCAGATCGGAATGATTTCGAAATGAGAAGAACTGACAAGAAACTCAGCTCGTATTTTTTTTTAATGTTGTACATATTTACAATAATACTATATCATTTAAATTCAAATTTGGGAGAATAAAGTGACCACCAGCATATGCTATATTAGAATAAGATATATCTAATAAGAATGTCAAACACCTTATAATAATTGTCAATCAAAGTAAATATATTGTCCTTCTTTTTCGACATATTTTTTATTTACATGAAAGTGACAAACACGATATTAAAATATGTTTGGACATTTCATTAATAACATAGACTCAATAACTAAATATCTAAGTCCATAATTGCATGGTCTTTATAAATACAATTAAGTTATTTAAATTGTTTGTCGATTTTATATTTCTTTTTCTATACCAATATCATTTCAATGATTGCACATAAATGAATGATTATTAAAAAAATAATTTAAATTAATGAACTTAATGTGTCGTTTTATAATTAATAATATAATTTCCTCGGTGGCCTAGCGGTGGAGCACAGCCCTTTACCTCCAATGGTTGCGGGTTTCTTGCACGGCACAAACACCTGTATTCATGAGTATGATTGTATCGATCTGTGTGTTTTCTATGTATATTATGTATGCATTTAGAAAAAAAGGTATATATTTATATGTATCGATAGACTAGAACACATAACACAAACGCTGCTAAGCTTGGGACTAAATGGCGCTGTGTGAATTGTCCTGGAATACTTATAGTTATTAGTAATATAGTTAAAATAGTCAAAAAACTAATATTAGTTATGTATATTAAATAGATCTAAATATAAATATTGCACATAGTAAATGTATTGCTTAAATTGAAATTCAAATGATATCTATTGTGTTTTCTACGTGTCTCTTACATGCATTATGTAAAATTAAATTATATTAATTATAAATGAAGTCTAAATACCTACTAGTCCATGCCGTTTAACTAAATAAATATAATAAACTTTTGATAAAAAAAAATAATTTTGGCAAATAAATATTAAAAATCTCTAACATTTTAACTCGTAAAATTCTTTAAAACTAATCCACTTCCTATGTTCTATAATAAAAGAAATTCTATATGTATTAAATATTGGTCCCTAACAAAATAAAGTATGCAAAGTAACAATGCCCTAAACTATTAAATCTGGCCTACGTACATATGATATAAAATTGAAAAAAGATATTCGTTTTAATAACTAAGTAAATATAATTATTTGACAAATATTAATCGTCATTTCTAAAAGCATATAATTGAAATCTAAAGTAAGATAGAATAAACCAATTCTCGTCTCTCAGATTAATTTTGCTTATTAACAGTGTTTACCATCATTTGAAAGTCAGTAGGAAATTAAAATTTATCGAATAGTGTCAACCACATTTAAACTGGCGATTATTGAGGTCTTTATTTGTCATGGTCAGTAGGCCATTAGGGCACAATGATTAAAATATATATATATATATATGAATTAAAATATATATAATTTCTAAAGGACTTGTGAAGTAGGAATTAATTTAATTGTTTAAATATAGAAAGTTCTTTTTAAAATATATAAGAATACACTTACAATACGATCTCCATTTTTATAGTATTTACACTACACTATTTATTAATCTTGTTTGCTATGCTTAAATATTTTTTTATTATGACCGCCGCAGGTAACAAAACATACTGCTATAAATACAAAAAAGTTTACATACCTTCCTTTTCAACAGCGTCTAATTTTGTCCACAACAAACAAAACACAGTCTCGAAAACGAAACTCCGGCGCTCCGATGAAATGAGAAATCGAAAAGCAGCACAAAACACCACTATTTATTATTTAGTATTATTTGTACAAATAAATTGCGTAGTTCAATGACAATAAAAATATATTTTTAATTTTCATAGATTCGCATTTACTAAGTTTTTTATTGGTGCCGCGTTCGAATATCGAATGCCGAGGTTTGGACAGACGATATCGCGCACACCCGGCGCTGTTTGGCGCGTTCTGGTATACTAACTAAACCGAACCGGCAGTTCTTGGCATGGCCGCTTTGGATCGGCGGCCCCAGATACCGTCAATTGTCATGCCAGACTGAATAATTTTGCCCATGCGTACGTACGCTGTACGAGGGGCGCATGCGCTCCCGATGATCAAAATAAACTGCATATACATACTTGTTTAGCTACACATTTTACATGTACTTATCTAACATACATGTCACACATGTATATGGTCATTGAACATTAATATATTATGAAATAAAATGAACACTGAAAAAAATATTAGAAAGAAATATTTACCAATAGATAATGACAGAGTTTTGCGCATTCACCACCAAAGACTTACAACGTCTAAATAAACTGAATCAATCAATCAAAAACAATTAATCAATTTAAAAAATATCCGAACTATATCTTTTGTGTAATCGTTTTTAATACAAATCCACATGTAATGTTACATTGAATGACCCTAAAATTGTCCGATAGTAATTGATATTAATAGTTGGTTCGTAAGTATATTATAAAAAATATAGTAAAGTAAAATGAATTCTTTACCCTATCACTTCGTAATAATTGATTAAGGAAATAAGTAGGTGTCTTTATTAGTTTTAATATATGTTACGGAATTTTACATTTCTTATCATGTTGCTGTTTAAATAACATCATAATATAGGATATTAATTAATCTATATTATTATGAGAAATACCACACTACAATTCCTCTCAGTCACTCAAAGGTTGACTGGAAGAAATCCCTCTTTTGGATAAGTCCGCTATTGTACGCATTTATTTTTTATGTCAATTGTGTCCTTTTAGTCATAATATTATTGTACAAATTGGAATGCCATTTGTTCACTACGAGCGGCTAATGCCGACTAACATACAACAGGCGCTCTTGATCTTGACATTGTATCCAAATAGAGGCTGTCAATATGAAATATATAAATGACACACTTTCAAACACTATCAAATAGGATCAGTCCAAATTGCCACTTTTTTCACTTATATGTCGAGTATATTACAATATAATATAAAAAAAGTATTATTACCAAAAATATAATTTTACATCTAGTATGTACTATTATTTTAATTGTACAATTTTAGAACCAAAATAAATATTGAAATTCTTTATGTTTCGACTGGACTGGAGTGCTCAGTTACAATTTAAGAAAAAAACCTTCAAAGATCGATATTAATAATAACCAATGGAAATTCGACCATAATTAAATGAAACTATAAGTTTGAACATTATTAACGTTTTATTGTCAAAAACAAAAGAGTATACCTGTGTCAAACATATGGTAGTGAGTATAATGTTTTTTCTTATTGGATTAAAAAAAATATTACCATTATGCACTCCTTCTCTATATAAATTACACGTGTGTGTAATTTCACTATCCTCCGTCTGTGCAATTTTCGTAAAATGGGGTACAAAGTTTATGTTTCATGTATTGTAATAATATATAGATAACATTACAATAGGAATACCTATTATATATAATAAAATATTATTACTAACTATCTATCTATCTATCTATCTAGTAACTAGACTCTAATATGTCGTGTTGTGAATACAGCACTCTCACCTTTTTTCGGGTGCAAAGCATCTTGCTTGTTTTGGATGTAAGTGTGAAATTACACAATAAGAGGCGTGGACATCTTCTCTGGAATGACAACGCACATGTGGTACAAACAAAAATAGAAAATAAAAATAGTACACTAGTACCTACTATTATTTTTTCATTAATAGTTGATACATGAGTACACCCTAAAGTATTAGGGTGTACTCACATGATAACATCCGTAAACATGTAAATATCCGAAGTGCTATATATAGGCGATGGTTATTGCTTTTCATCAGGTGGGCCGTCAGCTTGTTTGCCATTCCAATTAAACAGAAAAAGAATAGCACTTCTTAGTTCTATCACATATATCACAGTTCTTAGTTTTCATACAAATTGTGGTTCTGTCGTCGATTTCACTATCTCTGAGATTAACCTCTTTGAACTGTTACTATCACTGCTTGTTAACTTATCTCAAATACGTATTTTTGCGAATGTCTTACACATATGTACACGTAGTTTTAGCACCGTTCTTATATATATAAATATAAAAATATTATAATTTTCGAGGCTGTTTTTACATATACTAGAATGGTGGCAAACAAGGATATGGTCAATCTAATCGTAAACCATAACGTAAGGACGACTAAACCATCAAGACTATCACGTGCGCAATGCCGACAGGTAAGATACCATAGTACCGCTTTTAAAATCCCTTTCTGTATTATCAAGAGAGCGACATCTTACTACTAGGTACTTCATTCCACTTTCTGAATGGATGCAGTAGGAAATTGCTCTCGATCCACACTATACATTTGCAGGATGTAAGAATCAATCATTGTCAATGAAGAGCGATTGCTGGTCTCTATTATAATTTCAGAATCAAACTTTTTAACAAAATTTAAGGAGTATCGCTTTGCGGAGAGTATTCCGCCATGAGCAGTTTTTAAGGTGACAGTTTTTGTTTTTTTACCCGTGCCCATTTTTTGATTTTGTATCACAGATAGCTTTACGATTTTAGATAATCGTCCAAGTGTATCGAATAATGTGTGAACATACATACACGGATGTACTCGTCTACTCGCGTCACAAAGATTTTATAATATTATCGTAACACATCATATTGGTCATATCATTAGTCAAAGCTATCTAAACTATTATTTGTAAGCAAGTAATTTAATTTATCTAAATTATATGCATGTAACAATAATTAACTAACGGAGCTAGTGGTCGTCGTCTTAACCCGACATACAGACAGCAATACCACCTACCGGTCCAATTGTGTTTGTTGTGTCAAAACATCCAGAAAGCTATTGACTTATATACTAGCTGAATTCAAATTAAAAAGAAACCGTTTCAAAACTTAATAAAATCCTAACATTCTCTGCTAGAGCGGGCGTACACCCAAGGCACAAACGCGAAAGCACTAAGGCATAATAAAGTGTTCTCAAATTCTTAAAAAAATATTAGCTGCCCACTCAATTTCGTTTGCATCGCACTTACATGCCATTTATAATATTTCACCCAATTTACACAATACCATTTTAAATTATAGCCTATGTGTTATTCTAATGTATAAGCTATATTACTGTAAATTTTCATCACAATTCGTTCAGTAGTTTTTGGTTGAAAGAGTAACAAACATCCATCCATAGTCACAAACTTTCGCGTTTATAATATTATTAACATTAGGATTAATATTAAGATAGTTCATCCATATACGTACGTAGAATAATTATAAATACATATGTAGATGCTATCAAAACTTTCAATAATACTCTTCAAGTCTATTGCTATGATTTATCTATGTTTATACTTACATATATAATTGTTACGTTTTCTTATAGAACTTTTATTAACCTGTTATGGCAGAGAACACAACAAATTAATAAAAGATCTATAAGAAAAACTGGTGCCCTTCGCTTAAATATTTTGTGTGATCATTTACTATAATATTATCTTATCTGTGTTATGAGCCAGTGGTACCCCGCGACGTACGTACGACGACGATGTATATGTATTATAAATCTGTACACACCAGTACATTTCCATCTATTTTTAAATTCATTTATTAAATACTTTTTAGGTTAATACACCTTTTATGCTCTTATATCATTTTTATCTATTAGGTATATTATTTTTTAATTTTCTACAGGATAATTTTTTATTTTTATTTTTTAATTAGAATATTGCGCCCTAATTCCTCCATCCGTTCGTGAAAAAGATAAATAGACAGTTTATGACAAGGATTAGCATAGCCAATTTTTCATTATATTTATTTTGGATCCTCGAATTATTCAAAGGTGTTGTCTAATAATAATTTCAATCTTTATATAACATACACAATAGATATTTACATTAAAAAAATGCCGTTCACGCAACAACGAGATACAAAATTACATTGAATTACTAATGCGCATCGCAAGTGATTTCCTAAAACAATTATAAATGTAGACTGTTTTTAATGAGAGGATCCCGATGATTTAATTACTATAGGTAATATTATATTATCTGTCTGGTAAAGGTAAAGTCGTTTGTTTATATCAAATAAAGAAAGTTTTTTATGTTGTAGTTTTAGTTATTTAGTATAGTTATTCATGATTATTTGATACAAGTTACGAGGAACTTATATTTATGGAAGAATTTATCATTAGTATGGAGAAGAAGAAAAAGCGCGGACGTAAATTACAAAGGCAAGGTAAGGAATTGATCGTAGATCGAATATCAGTCGGACGAATTTACAACACATTGATGGAAATATTTTGTTACGTATAATAATAACTATAATAGATATAAGCTTACACTTGGAAGTTTATTAACAATTACAGCTACAAATATAAATAAAAAGTAGTCCATTTATTAATCTGGGTTTCTTTTCTGGATAATGTTGGAATGGTCCAAACGCCAGTGCTGGTGTATGCGGAACGGCACTACTAGAGGTTCATATGTGCAGAACAATAAGTCTGCTTAGTTAGCCCATCAGGGCAAAAACACAAGGAGTTTATCACGATTGTCTCTAGGGTGGAGGTCGATCTGACATTGTACGATGAATTTAAAAATCGTATAAAAAATAAAAAATACGACGCTAATATTTAGCTTATTTCCTTATAATTAACTAAGATTGCGTAGATAGGATATAATGGTTTTTATATACCTATATATTAATGGATTATTTGTTTTCATGAAAAACCACAAAACAACAAAATAACATTTATATTAAAAAGACATTAATTTAGGGCTTAAAATTTAAGATTTCGTGTTGATTTACATTGTATTATCTGTTAGAAGTTATTTTCACGTGTGTAATAATAAAGATATGGTAAATAGGGTATTAACATAAGATAGCGTTAAGTATTGAAAGCAGTTTATAAAATTGATAATATAATATATACCTAACATAACTTTGATACGCAAAATTTCAACCGGTGCTAACGTATTGTAAACATGAATGAGATAAATGTTTTATTAGTTTTTATAAAAGACTAAGTGACTCGCGCAACTTCGTCGGAGTCTCATAAGAAAGTGGAAGATCACAAAAATTAATAAATTTTCTACATTTTTGCAAAAAGACGCGATATTCCTTTTGTTGGTCGTATTTCCATTTTATATTTCGTCGTTATAGCCGGTCGATGTATTATCCAACAATAAAATATTTTTTCAATTAGAACCAGTAGGTAAATCCTGAGATTAGAGCGTTTAACCAAACAAACAAACTTTTCAGTCGTCAGTAATATTTATAAGTATGAGTTTGTTTGTTGATACGAGTATTTGTTATCTGTGGTAATATTAACACGAGCGTATGTTACAATGACCAAGATGTTTTTTTTTGTTGCAAATATTTGAAGTCGCGTTAAATCTTTCCAACACAAAAAAAAATCGGAACGATAGAAAATTTTAAAGAACTTATAGGTATAAAGAATTACTGTAGGTTCAATTCCTTGCACTGCACAAAGAGTACGTCATTAATACAATTATTTGTATAGATTGTGTTTTATTGTGTATATAATGTACGTATTTAGGGAAAAATCTATGTAATAGTATCAGTTGTCTAGTACCCAGAATGCAAGCTGCTTAGCGTAGTACTAAATGACGCTGTGTGAATTGTCCTGAGGTATTATATTATTATGGTTTCGAATAATTATCTACTATTTTTAATAATTAATTATTATAATCAATTTTACTTATGTTATTAATTGAAACTAATTCACACGGACAGACACTACATGCTATTTGGTATACTCGATGAAATCATGTAGCAATAATAAATAAACAGTTAGACATATACATGACTGGCATAATCAGCTAAGGTCATGTCCGTGCAGAGATATATGTATTATGTATACCTACATTAATAGTAGGTACCTACTCAAATGATTTTATATAACACTAGCTGTCAGCCGTGACTTTGTCTGCACATGCTTTCACTCACTTACTTATATTTTTACTTAATACAAAATAATAGCTGTTCCCGCGACTTCGTCCGCGAGGAATTTAACTTTATTTTTCTAAAATAAAAGTAGCCTAAGTTACTCCTTACTACATCAGCTACTTGCCATCCCTTGTTTTTAACCCACTGTCGAAGTTGGTTATCTGCGCGATTTGTATCAATGTAAGAATTTACCTATTTTATTAGGAGATTACACTAATACAGTTTGATACTGCGAATTAATATCTATTAATATTCTTAGGTCTGATAATACTGTATTTAGATAATATAAATACCAAATAGAGCTCCCTCACTCAAGTAGGTACGAAGCGAGCGAATAATCGAATATATCGCGAATAATAAGCGAATATATCGCTTGATTGACAGAGATTTAGTATATATATATTTTTTAATGATTTATTACATTAATTATCTATTTACCCACTAGAATTTTTTAATATAATTAGAAGAGATACACGCAGAGGGCCAATCGGAAACATTTTGACTCGACACCCAAACTGGGCCAAATTTCTCTTTCCGTGCTGCAACACCGACTTCTAGATTGCCGTCGTCAGTACCTTGACCACAAAGACAATATACATTATTATTTTAAAAGTACGTTAGACTAAGCCATTAGTAACCTGAAAAATACAGAAATAAAATATATATTACACATATACAGACATACATACACAATATAACACTTAACTTGCTTACATATCGCTCGGTATGTTTGTACTTATTTGTTGCATGGTTTAAAATAAAAATAAATAATAAAAGAAGGTGCGGAAACACCTAATGTTTCCGCTACTTCTTTTTTTATTTATTTTATTATAATATCGTACAAATTATTTATTTTATGTATATTTCATAAAATATAACAGTTATTACACAATGAAATATTGTAAATGACTATATAAGTAAGTGTCACAATTAATTATTATTATTTTACATATTACACAAGTTATAATAAACAATTATTTAACACAGCTTATTGAATAAATATTCATAATGACGTATATGTATATTATACAAACGATAATAATTATAAACATAGTATAACTCTTATTGGTCGCTAAAATAACAAAAAAAAATATAACCGTTATAAAATAACACAATTAATCTTAGCAAAATTACTATTACGCGTTTATTCACTCATGGATAAGCGTCACTATCTCTGTGTGTCAAGGGCTAATCATTGCAGAGGGTATTAGTATCGTAAAAAATAAACATAGATATATCTCATTACAAGAAAAACATTTGCGTCTCATACTAAATATGTCTATAGTACTTTACAATCTATTCAAAAATTAATTCATTGGTCTTTTATGGGTCTAGAAACATAAAATTTTGGGTTCTTTGTCGCCATTGTACCAAAATCAAATCACCACCCCCTAAAATAAATTACCCCCTGGTAATTTATTTTATATTTATTTATTATTAATTTAAATTTCCCTTTATAGTCTAACTAACCTGTCCTCTTGCTCAGTCGCCCCGGCAGCGTATGCCGTTAGCGCAAGCGACTACTTAATATCATATTAATCCATTAAATAATCCATCAAAAAATCTAATAAATAAAACATCATCACCGTGTCAACCCCTTATCGTCCTACTGATGAGTATGGGTGTCAGATAAGGATTTCATTGTAACCAAGCGATCTGGTAAGCCAAAATAATCAAATCAAATCAAAATATCTTTATTATGGAGATTTATTATTATAAACATTTATAAAAAATCAAATCTAACATCACTTTGAAATGAATGGCCAAGAAGAACAGGCAAGAAACTCAGTTATTACTTTTTGAAATAAGATTTCAAAAACACATTGGAGAACGTACTTAGTCGTATAAAACCCATATGTAAAATGAAACCATTTATGTTAACATACTATCTATTGTACAATCCAATCTCTAGATTCCATCTGATTTAGTTTAAAAGAACTTTCTATAAATATAAGAATTTTCTATCACTAAATTGGTATGAAAAATCAGACGATGCCGCGAATTAAAATAAAATTACCTCTATTTAATGACCTAAGACCTCATTTTATGTACCGCTAGCTGATCAAACAACCGGCGTGATAGCAGAGGATAATAAAATATGCGATTACAATTAGGTACTAATAATTACCCGGACGTTATATATACTTTGTATTTCTAATTGTATCTACATAGTATTTCTATTTTATGTAAGTATATACACTGTATACATATAAGATAAATAAATTATACTCGACAATTTGCATATATTGCAATTTGCATATCTAGTCCCAAACTATGTAGAGCTTGTACTGTGGATATTAAGGGAGCATCTATTAATTACATGTCTAGTTCAGGCAGAATATCACTCACGCAATCTCACATGTGGAAGAAGAAAGTCTCAGCAAATATTACATTATTTCCTCTTTTTTTTTAATTAACAATACTTTATATTGTAATTGCGACATAATTATCTGTTGACATATAATTATAATTACTATTGACATGTAACGTGTTACACTTGTGAATAAAATAATATGAATATGAATGAAATTACAGAATAATAGACTACAATCTTAGTCCTCCGAAATATGCATTGATATATTTCAGACATTTGGTATTAGGGGTGATATAATAACGTGATATCCGTGGTACTGTAGATGTACATTTATACTCGTAGACGTATGGTTGGACGATAGTTGCATCTTACCATTAGGTGAGCCATAAAAAAATATTAGGTCTGCAAGAGACGTCAGTTTATTTCCCATCCGGTCACATAAAATTTCCCCAACAGGTTTATGGCGGGTTTTATATCACCATAAACAACACTAGTCAATAGTATTCGAGACATATACAGTTCATGGAAGTTCGCCTACTTTTTTCGTCGACGCCACGAATAATGCAAACCGGACATGATGATCAGGACCTGTCGGCTCAGTCTAAAGGTAATACTATAATGTGTATCCGATACAGATCTCGATCTGTAAGTATTTATCCATCGTCGTATCTCAGTTGTAGGGCTACGACAACGTAAATATAGAGAATGAATGCTAAAACCTATCTTCGATTATTATACAGCTTTTCATATATTTAATTTCTGTATCTTGATAAAGGCAATCTTTGCCAAAAGTGTAACGAGAATTTTCAGGATGGTTTTTAAAAAAATGTTCACTATATTCAACAAATTGCTCGAATACACTGAATATTATGTACCTACCTATATATTCCCAGTTCTTAATTTTCTTATGTAAGTTTAAGATTTGTTTACATCTTATAAGAAAATAATATCCTTAACCGTAAAAAAATAGCAATACTATACTGCAGTACTATGTAATTTTATGTCATCTATGGCTGTAGATAGTAACTAGATTAAAAAAAAACAGTAGTGTCGACAGAATGGCTAAGCTCGAGTGGTACCACCAGAAGTCACATAAAAACGTTATCCGTGATATAAATAGGCGACGATTATCTTGTACACCAGGTGGACCGTCAGCGTATTAGGCATTTTAATTACATGAAAAATAGACTTTAAAAAATTGAGTTTCTACTAAAATCTCACTATGTGCCGTTGTAGCGTAATTGACAACCCTAGAAGAGTAGGTAATGAATAGTCACAACGTAAACATCTACCTAGCAATTACAAGTAAATGCCACATTACCGTTCAACGACCGGTGCACTTCCCCAGCCTTAACCTTTACAAGTTTCACTCTCTTAATTATAAAACAATGTTTCTAAAATTGTTACCTCTCTATATATAATCTCCTTATTTATCTCTTTCTTTTCCGCTCTACAACGAACTTATTTTCTGCCTCATACATTGGTAATTTTCCTGTATCTAAATATTTAATCCAAGTATGTATATATTAAAATATGTGTATATATTTATTTATGTGTCGTATGTAAATATGTATGTCTAATAATATGTATTATTTTAAAGTTACTACGTAAATGTTTATAAACTATAATGCGCCGCTTACTAACTTCTCTGTTTGCCTTATGGTTGACTGGTGGAGAACGCCCTTAGGTGTTAAGTTCGCCATATGTAAGTACATTTATATATTGTATTTGTGCATTAAAGTTTAAATAAATAGATAAATATAAGGACAAAAAGTTATTCACATATTGATAAATTTATTTACAATTATGAATATAATCATTCAACATACTTGTGTTTGCACTGGCGACTACATCCAATGCCGCAAATTCGTCTACGTGAATTATCTCAATAGTAAGGTCGCTCAAAGAAGTCGGAGATGATACCAGGAAGCTGCGCTTCCAGGAAGAGCTTGGTCAGCGGTACCCGGAATCTTGGCGTTACACGTGCATACGACTTTACATACATTTTATAACCATGTAGTATTATCCGCGTAGGCTTAGAATGGTGATTAATTCATATCTCATTACTCCTTGTTATACTCTTGCTTTCTAAGTAATTAGAATGGCAAACAAGGTGACAGCCCTCCTGACAAGTATTCGTCTTGGTATATATTATTTTATCCCATTATGGTGACCCTATGGTGTAGTCTCTAGAGAAAACATCGGCAGGTAACACATTTCACAATCTAAGTGTACGCGGGAGGAAGCTCGTCTAAAACCGTACTGTCCGAGAACACTCATGTAATCATCTACATATATATTATACAATATACATAATACACACTATAACCAACTAACCACCGTAATTACCTTAAATGTTACACGAAAACACGAAATGAACACGAAAACAAAATTCGAACTCTCTCTTTAAGTGACAGACTTTTCTCACTGTTAAATTGACAGTTGACATCTGTCACAACAATATTTCCATACCTAATCATTTACATATTGCAGACAAAGTAATTTAAAAATAAAACATTTCAACAAACATAATTCATGTTAATATAATTGTTATTAAAAAAATATATACATTATTATTTTTAATTCTCAGAGTTAACCTTTGAAATCAATATAAGAATTGTTAGTAGATTTGTGCGTATATATAATATAATATATGTATATTATGTGTACTTATCTACTTTTAACTACGTACTAATATTTATATTATGTTCCAAATTTAATCAAAATAAGTGCTTCAAAATTTATATTATTAAAACGTTATTTTATTCTATTAATTCTATCGCTTAAAAAAATAATTAATTATTTTTGTGGCAATCATGATGACGTGATTGTCATGTCTATTGACGATATTTATCACTGATGCAGTCAGCTTATTATAATTTATATAATTAACAATCATTAGCCCACAGATAGTCATAGCCTAAACCTTATTAGCCTATATAATACAATACTTACATACATAAATACTGCCAAATTACGAAGAACTATTCTTGTAATGTATACTAATTAACAGATAATTCCAGTTCATGCATTTTAAAATATGCCTACAATATTTATTCTAAAGAATTAGTGCATAAAACAAGGGGTCATTAAGAAATAAGGTCAAATAACAGGACATAACATTAATCGGATAAATTACATTTTTTTATTAAAAAAAATTGGTATAGTAGATTTTTTTATATAGGCAAATAAGCTGGTCCATCTGATAGTAAGCGGTAAGCGTTATCTAATATATACTTGTACAACTACGGTCATCATATTAGCATGTGACACCCCTGAGAACACTCATACCTGTGCTCATACGTTGCTATTTCAGATGATTAATAAATATCATGCCTCTTAACCTATAATTTCATTGCCTAATCTGTACTCTACAACCGAATAGACTTACAAAGCAAGCTGCTTGGTGGCTCTAACAGAGGAGACTTGGGTATACATGCAGACGACTTTTTAAAAGTCCTCTTTGGTAAATTGATGATGTTTAATTGCCACTTTAAAGACCTGAAAACTTTCAAACTAGCTATTAATGATACATTGTACCTACCAAATTTCAAAATAGCCATTAATAAAGAAAAAAGAAAGCCAAAATAAATGCACCTTTTATGTTACTTAAATAAAAGGTGCATTTAGTTTGACTTTACAAGTACAAATAAATACTGAATTCAAATAAATTTTGTAGCATAAAACTAAACACCGACTTCACATATTTGATTCTAATCTGCTTAATGGTAGCGATAATCCAGCATGATCAATCTTTTTAACCAAGCCAAAAGTTCACATTAAAAAAAAAAACTATATCAAAATCAACCAACGCCATATCAAAAACAAATAACTGGACTCTGTTATTTTTGTAACTGGTTATTGTTGTTATTTTGACCTCAATGTGCCTATGTCAGTTCTAGGTACTGGCATCGTTATCATTTCGGGTCTCTGCATCAGTCATTTATTGACTATAACTGAATACAGAGCTCTGGGGGAAGGGGATATCATCCTTCATGGAATTAGATCAGCGAGGTGTGGACTTTTAGATCGCAAAGGGCTTAGATTCAAATCTGTAACACCAAATTTTCTGTTTGCGATTAACACACTAATTAACAACTAATTAAGAGACAAGAGTCTTGGCGTTTCAGATTCTAGATTTAGTTACTGTTACTTATGCCTTTTCTTACAATTATTATTTGCTCTTCTGTGATCCTCTCACCGATTTGTCATTTTGGTTTTGGTTTGGATGAGATCTCTTTTTCAGATACGTCCTCCTTTGGTAACAATGTTCTAATGCTTATTAAGAATATACAATAGATAATATTTTTTAAAACGAATTCAATATATACAATGTCTCAGAAAAATATTGAGAATAAAATCTAAAACTTTCAAGCAGGTATAATACATTGTTCCTTTTAAACAGAAATAGCGACTCATACATTACGACATACAAAACTCTATTTGTTTTATTATAAACAACTAATTATGTTCAATAAAGAGGTTCAAGACTCTTTCATAACATCAGAATTTGAGAACCCATCTCGCAAAGTCGCAAATAATACGAAACCGGTTATCTTTTTTTGTTAATAAAACAAGTTATAAGTGTCGTGGAGCTTACGGAAGCATCATTATACAAATTACTACCGTTATGAGATCATGTCGTGACTACGACAATTTAAAACTTCGTTACACAAAAGAGCTGATATCAATTCTGAATATTTTATTATAGGACAGTACGGAAGTGAACTGTTTCGATTATATTGATTGTTTTAATCCTGAAATTAGAGTCACAAAGATATAAGGATATTCAAGTACATTGAATACTTACTTACTTTTTAAATTGTTCTAAATTTAATATGAAAACAAGTAGAAGTATGGGAGTCAATAATGTCTCACAGAGAAGTTCATCTATATATTACCCTTGTCTAGTATTTGTCATACATTGCTGTTAATATCAAGAGCGCCTACCCATATAATAAGAGAATTATTTGTCTCGCTACTATTCTAATAGGAATAGGAGTTTTAACTTCTACTAGTATACTAGTTTTATTGCACATTGTACCTTATGTACGAGTACTGAAAATCCTTTATTCAAATAAACCTAATTTAAGCACTTTTGAATAGTCATAACATTTTTTTTAATCTAACACTCATTCGGAAAACTTTCTAGCAAGAAACTTGTTTGTTGCTCTTTTCGTCTTTTTTATTATCAACAATAGTGATCTGAAGACTACCAAGAATCTTTGAAATAGTATGTAATTACGTACTACTACTACTTTTAATGAACTATCTTAAAGCAGTTGTAAGCGCTGTTGTGCGGTAAATTCCAAGGTAGCAGCACCGACTCGACTTTTAGTGCATTGACCGACATTACCAAATGTCAAATTTTTAGCGAGACGATCTAATTTCTAAGCCAATTTCTGTAGGTAGGTACTTCTCGGAAAAGGTTTTCTACTTTTCGAGATTTATAGGCCGTAAATTCTTCTACATTCCAATTTTTATTTTTGCGAAACTGCGACTCACGAAATCTTCTTTTTAAGATGTAATATACATACATACACATCTCAGTGTTTACCGTTTTAAGAAAAGTAAAATGTTGTTTTACCGAACGACTGCATACTTGGTCAAGCAATATACCTCAATAGATGGGGATATCGTGGACATCACATGACAAGATACGTTGAAAGTGACTAAAAAATAACATTTAAAAAATCTACCAGTTTAATTACTTGCCAGTTTTTCTCAACTAAAGTAGATAGATATCCGCACTGGACGGTTGGGATAGTGATAATGAATATTGAATATTTGTTATTGTTCTATGTGAATAATCATTTTGATTTTGAGTTAATTGCCAATTCAGTCACACATATATAAACCTACAATTTTAATGACCACCAATTTTTGTCCGATATGGTAATTACTTAAAACTAATTTAGGTATATCTCCTATATCTAGACTATCTTTGTAATATATATTAATGCTTAGAAAAATAAAGACTATCTAGTACTAATTATTTATGAAAAGTCGTTTGTCTGTCTGGCCTATTAAACTTTTATCTGCATCCGCTGATAGCAGTTTAGTTTTTAAACTTATTTCCGGAACAAATTCAGCATTTACTGGTTGCATAGTCCAATTTGTATTGTTAAAAAAAGGGAAAAAGTTTTTATTTCGCGTATTAATATAATGATGAGTAACGCTACGAGGTAAAAAAGGGACATTATCACAGAACGTCTTGTAGTCTCAATATAAGCGGAAGTAATTTGTATGGAAAGTAACGGATGGACATATATTTTTTAATAAATATGTATAATTCTACATTTAAAATACTAATATAAAAAAAAGAAATAGCAATAAAAACAATTCTTTAATGTGGAGGCATAAAACCAGAAACTACGTAGATATGCACTATGTTTAAATGCATTAGCAAATAACTGGTTTTATGGTATATTTTTATATTCTTTAACATTATATTACTACGCTCTAATTTGAAAACAAAGGCATTATATTTTTATATTTACACATTACACATTCAAAGAAATAACATACAATTCACAAACAAGCCAAGATAAAAATAGAATTACCAAAATACGTTAGGTACAAGAAATCCGTACTATGTGACATCGTTAAGATTTTATTAATGCATGGAATCGTTTTATATTAGTATCGTATTGGCAGTTTATTTTTAATTGGTGAAAATGTTATGGTGCACCCGCCTGCAATAACGATATACGTCAGTGGGGCACCAGTGGAGGATGATAAAATGAGAATGAGATCGCGACAGCCCATGGTAACAATTTCGCCAGGAATTTTATACAGTGGGTTCCAGGAGAGATCGCTTGCCGACCTGACATGGTACATTGCTATCAATGGGGTCAATAATCTCTTATGCTAATAATCTCATACGCCCGCTCGTACTAGTAGTTAGGTACTCGCAACTTTGTTTGAATGGTGCTAGATACAAAATAGTTCTTGATAATCACCATAACAACCATTGTGTACGGGGAGAGATGATGGCGTGTGAAGAAGGACTAGTAATCCCGTTAGCACCATCATAAAGTAGGTATTCTACCAAGTCCTCAATACTGCACCACTTATAACTATCAAGATGTGACAGGTTTCTGACAACAGGCTGAAACGGATACAGTTTATTACAATACATTAAGCAATACATTTTTTCAAAAAACACGAGTTGTAGCCTGATATAAAATAAACGTATTTACTAAACAATTACCTACCTAGCATCTACTAAACGTCATAACAACATTATCAGTTAATATTATCGTCTAATTCAAGCACGTTTAGAATTAACGGCGCAAAATGGGTATAAATATATACTATATTAAGTGGCTAACCTACTAGTTATGTTACATCGTGTTAGGAGATTCCTATAACTACACGATATCAAGTTGTTGTTGTTAAAAATATATTTTGTAAACTTCACATTTTCATTATAAATGATCAATAGCGGAACAGAAAACAAAGTCGCGTCAAGTAATGCTTTTGTTTCAGAAATTTAAATTTGACACGCGCTATGTGAGTGACAATATCCAATGTTGTAATGGATAAACTACTATAACTGTCTACGTGTAGGTCGAAAACAAAGCCAAAATAAACTTAGCCACGTATGTAAGCTTTAGTTATCTTTAAGAATTACTTACTTATGTACTATTATTGTTTATTAAAATTAAGAAAGTCTAATTTATTATTTTAAGATACTACGTAAAAACCTCCTGGTTTTTCACCAAGTAGAATCTGAGGACATTATACCGGTGCAAAGTTTGGATAATCCTTTCCTAATGAATGTCTACATTATTTGGAACGCCTGTCCAAAGTTTCAGACCTATGGCTCAAGTCCACTTTAATAGGCGCTGATACGAAAAATCCTTTAGTCCGTTTTTAATTAAGCTTAACACAGAATGCACAGATCTTCTAATTCTAAGACAGGTTCAATATCCTCAAACAATTCAAACTGACACAATGTAAAACATATTGTATATACCTAAATGAAAAACGTTTATTTAGTATATGGAATATTAAACTTCAAAACTTTACGTTGCAAGCGCCAATATATATCCAAAGCAATATCCGTCTTATGCTCTAGAAACATTTGCAATACAACAAATTATGTTTGCGTTTCACATCGAATTTTTATGGTACACACAGGTCATTAGATAAAAAGTAGTAGGCTGATAAAACTCCACTGCTCTGGTTATTTATAACAACTTGTTTACTTCGACTTTTTGGAATGAACTCATTCAAGTCTACGCGCGTTTCAGGAGTGCTCTGCGTACTGATGTACTTCACGTAATGCTGAATACATGATAATATAATTTAATCCTGAAACTTTTCAAAGGGATTACTTACCTGTTAGAAGTTATAACAAGTTTTAGTGACACGTGTAAGAAAGTATATAAAGGCTGAACCGTTAACTTGACACCATTAGACGAAGAAAGCTCTTCCTGGAGGGTTGTGACTTGAGAACATCAAGTATACTGTGCAATCTACTGTGGTAAGATACTACAATATTATAATGTATCAAACATTCGAATTTCATTTCTTATATCAATAATATCTTAATGCCATTCAAGTTTCTGACAATAATAAAGTTGTACTAGATTTCAAATCTTTTTTTAATTTTTTGCACCACAAACGTGGGCTAGGTCACAACTGATAGTAAACAGTTGCCTATAGGCTTAATACTTGCAATACTAGAGGTTTCTATTGCGCATTGCCTGCCCTTGTGACGCGAACATAACATAAGTCATGGTACCAAGTAAATGGTCATTCGTCTCTAAAGTCTAGAGCAATACTAAGTTTTAATGATTTGGCGGGAGAAATTGAGACAGAATTTTGATTACTGGTGACCTGCCGGCGTAAACCGTTACCGAAGACGGGTGTCTTAGAATGATAGGATGAGCATGAGGTCAGGTCAGTTGGCTCCTCGTAACTGATTCACCAGGAATTTATCACGATGATTTCCAGGGGGGGCCGTGAGATCAACCTGACATAGTACATTGCTAGCAATGGAGTTATTAGTAATGTAGTTACAGACCCTAATTCTAATATTCTTGTTATTTTCAGGGGCAAGGACAATGTTTAAATAAGTGTGATTATTGTAATGTGATCAAGCCTGTGTATCAACTCAATCTGGTAAATGAATTATAACTTTGAATTTATATCATACCTTTTCCATCATATCATATAAAAATTAACGTAATATTATTATTTTGTACATTTACCTACTAGCCAATAGATATATTTAGGTCTTATTTCTCTCTAAAACAGTAAGTAGCGTACTGTGAATCAATTACTATCTAATTATATTCTTCTTGTTTCTGTACTTTCCGTAGACACATTTACTATAATTTATTAGAGAATATTTAGGCATGATACGTTACTCATCTGAAAAGGCAACACATTACGGGAATCACTTAATGACCACATATACCTGGCGCAGTTCACGTCTATATCTGACATATCCTACGATCATTACTTACCATCTAGTGAGCCTTCATGTTTGTCATAACAGTACATAAAGAAGTTGGTAAAGGATGAACCGACTTTTTATTATGTGTTTTAATCTGTTATCAGGTGTTAAAACCTGTAACACTGCGACCTACATTGATCTATTGTGCTTGCCCTTTTTCAAAGTTCACTACGTAAACTTTAAAGGAACCCGTAAGAGACAAGAACGTAAAAACATTTTTTATGTATGGCCTTTTAACTACTTATACGCATCATATTTATGTATTATTTTACTCATGTATTTTATTAATATACGGTATGCAGTTTCAATATATATAAACCAGATACAAAATTATCTATATATAAATTACATGTTAATGTAGTTGTGTCTAAACAATATATATTATTATTATATTAACTGATGCAATGTTTTCAGATCGTTTAAAATGAAGGGTTTTTACATATTTGTGGTATTCATGACTTGCTACAGCATAGCATCCGCTCACATTCTTACATCAGCCTATATGAACTACCCTTCGGCGATCTGTAAAAAAATGCTCAATCACGCCCTAGACAGCCTGTGCACGTACAACTATGAATCCACCGGTAAGAATAGTTCTATCTTTTTTTCAACTAAACCTAGAAAACTAACTAATTAAATTCTATCATAAATTTATCCATTCTTATCTTAACTTTGAACTATAATTAACACAGCTGAACCCGCGACTTCATATATATTACGTTTTTATGAACTAATTTGAATAAAACATAAAAAAAAAACAGAAATAATTGTAACAATCCTATTTCTGGGTATATTACTTTGATAATACCTCTCAATTATAGTTTTTCACATATATCTACCATGCACAGACAGCAATCAGTTCCAATTTTATTATACTTATGCATAGATTGTGTCTGTAATTCTTTTTTGTTTCAGAATTACTCCGTGATGCTATATCGAAGGAGGTAGACACTACAAATTGGAAATATTTGGAGAAAGTCCTCGAAGTGTGTTGTATGAGACCATGTACACTGCCCGAATTGTTATCTACATGTCAAACGCAATAACATATAGAAAAAAACTTGACATAATGTACGGCATTTACTATAGACCGCTGGCAAATAAACTACTCTACCTACCCCTCTACTGAAAAATAGTAACCGTCGTATATAAACATAAATCACGGACATAACAAACTTTACTTCTGATGCCTATGATGTCCTTTATGCATTACCATTCAAGAGGTCTGAGGCGTGATCCCTGTTATTTCAGATTTTTTTTTTATTTTATTTAGGTAGTTTAATTTTGTAACACCAAGCATATTTTACAGACTCATTACATGTGACCAACCCCGTTTTCCCCACTGGGCACGCCAGGCGCGTGTCCAGGGCCCCGCGAGAGATTGGGCCCCCTAGTCAAATCTAATCCCTACTCCTTTACTAAACGATAATCGATAGCCACTCTCGCCTGAAAATCAGTCTAAAATGCTTACCTACTATGGTCAATTGGTTCGTTTTGTTAATTTTTTAATAAATGTCTAGCAAGAACTTGAACCCCTCAGCACAACGAATTTTTAAAATTATTTTTGCTGGTTTATTTTGAAAGTAGGGCATCCCCATATACATTTCTAAAGAGTCATGTTAAAAAATTACTTTCTTTTCTAACAAAATAGTGCTTTATTACTATGGCCATAGGGGCTCCATTATCCTAATGTGCTCAGGACCACTAATAGGTGAAAGACTGCCCCGCATGTGACTAGAATTGTTTTAAATAATTGACAACGTAAATTTGTCTCATTTTGTCGAATGTCGAATTTTTGCTTTTTTTTATTCCGTAGTCTTTTATGGAATAAAATGGCAAAAATTCGACATATAGAGACATCAATGTGTTGAGAGGTCGAGAAAACCCGAGAGAAACCTGTGAGAAACTATTACTGGATATGTTATTTATTCAATAATCAAGTTTCCATTGCTAATAGTTTATAAATATGAAATGTGATTATAATGAATTTCGTAATTACACTAAAAAGTACAATATTCAGTGTAATAGAAATTTGTATCGTATTATAGAGATCGGTAACTTATTATAATTTAATATGGCTTTAGAAACCAATTAAATGTCTCAATTTTTTATAGACATTAAATAATATACAGTAGAATAATTTATTTTCATAATTTAGATAGTCCTTTGAGTAAATATCTTGGCAGAGAACAAGCTTTAAAATCTACATAGTGATACTTATATTTAATATTTAGCTTTAATATCAATATAAATCAAGATGATTCTAAAAATGCTTTGCCAAAACATCAGCATTTTATACACAACTTAAGTATCACAATAAATACATAAAGTAATATTTACACCGTTATATCTTATCATAATTAGACATCCCTGTTGAATATGGACCTAAGACCTTGTGCCCTTTCGGACCTTGGATTGATAACGGGCGTCAATTGCAATAACAAATTAATTAACTATTTAGAAAAAAAACGATATTCTTGTTTCATCATGAATAAAACATCTTAACAAAAGCTGTTTGTAAACATAAATAGAAAAAATAGGTCGTTACAAGGACACCAGATATACTCCAAACAGATGAGAATAATATGTATACCACCACAGAAAAAATATTACAGGATATAGATATAATAATAGATAGATAATAATATAAATAGCATTGTTATCTCATTAAAGTTAATTACAGCAAATTTGGCTCGTTTTACTTTTTTTAGTTTGTATATTTTTTTGCCATATTTTGAGAATAACAAAGAAGCAGATGTTCCATCGAATGGTAAGTGGTATCCGCCTACATACATGAATAGCACCACGGGTATTACGTCATCATATGACGCCCGAGTGGTGAGTGTGTAGTACGTAAGTGGTGTACTCATGCGTGGCCATTCCGCAGCACTAAGATTTTCTGTATCCGTACCTTGAAATTCACTGCTTATCTCGTCCTTCAACCGAAACATCTTACAACATTTTCCAGCTGAAATAGGAGAGACCCACAAATGACTTTATAAAGACTATTTCTGTAATATGGGTTTCCATAACTCAGATTAATATGCATAAACAACGAAAAATATACTTAACTATTTATTGACTCATACAATTATTTACATTACGAACTAAACCTATAACAGTCCTTCCATTTCTCTCATGAATTGCATGTAGGCATCGTCCTTGGTTGGTGCTTGTTTAGGCATATCTGCCGGCCGTTGCAAAGTCGACTTAATACCAGGTTTCGTCTTCTTATCCTCCCGTTTAACTCGTAACGCGGACGGCACGAATCTCGTGACGTCAGCGGAGAGATTCCTAATTTGTGGCTTCGCACTGATAGTAGCACCTGTAAATAGAAATAAGAAGATAAGGCTTCAGAACATAAACATATCATATGATGATGTACCATACCTGTGGAAAATCTTGCAAAGACTATACACACGCGGGATGGAGTAGGAGGGCAGTTGATCTGATTTTGCAGTTTTTACTAAAATCTATACGGTATAGCTCTGGACCGCTATTGCCGGAGCCGAGACTTCGCTTTAGCATTCTACCGTAACCTATATACTGAAGTGTATTAGTGTGTGTAGTAAATAAGTGTATATAGTAACACTAATAGTTACTAGTGTAAACTAGATTTGGTGGTTTTCCACTTTGCTTCTGCGTCTATAATACAGCTGTTGTGCATGGTCACATGATCAATTTTGCTGACTATATTGGCTTTCAGTATTATTATTTGTCAGAGGGAGTCGCGACTCCCTCTGCGTGGAATTGAACTTTACGTTTCTAAAATAAAAGTAGACTAAGTTACTCGTTATTACATCAGCTACCTGCAAAAAAAGTGCTGTCAAAATCGGACCAGCCATTTTAGAGATTAGCGGAAACAAAACAGACAGCATAAATTGTAAAAAATGACATTTTGGTGTATGTACCGTATTTATATTCATATGCATGTTGTAAAAAGCTGGTTGTTTCGATATTACAAACAAACACTTTAATTTTATTTATATCTATAGATAATATTATTTCTAAACTATTATTATGAAGAAAAAAATAATCTTACTAATGAGTACAATTTTTCACCATAGAAAACCAAATTAATAGCTGACAACAAGTATTGTATTTTATTTAAAAAAAATACGTACTCTTACAATGTTCCCATCTGTATGTGTTTGCTAGTATATAAAAAAAGAAAACTATTTACCTTGAACACCATCTTTCTTTGATATAAGCTGAGGGGCCGCTGTAAGGACCGAGAGTTGTGGCATAGGTTTCGGGGGCGGTGGCGGCTGCAGCGGGCGAAGGAGGCGTGGGGGCGCCCCTGGAGGCGGCCCCGGGGGCCGCAACAGCGCTCGCGGAGGCAGCCCTGGGGGCGGCCCGGGCGGGGCTGGAGGCCGCATCACTGGACGACCGGGCGGGGGCCCGAGAGGCGCGCGAAGTGGAGGCCGAAGACCTGTATTTTTATAATTTAGGGTAGGGAATTAGTGAGTGTCATCAAGTGAGTTCAAATCTGAACAACATACAAAAAAAATGAGGATTTTATATTTCTGTTTGACTCGCCTATGATCCAAACACAGGCATGCAACCAAAAATGTATCAAAGAAAAGGAAATAGGATCGTCACTTCGCACCATGTTAGATTCAAATATACCGTCCAAATATTGCATTCACCATCGACAGTTGACAATGTCTCTACCCCATCTGGTATATAGTATGTTGTTATGTTGTAATTACAATGGCATACAAGCTGATGGCCCATATGATGGTAAACAGTACACGGATATCATGTCGTCATTTGACACTCTTGTTACATACCCCTTGAGCATTTTATTCGTTAGGACTGATGTTATACTTCCATACTCCTTAGATTCAATGCAGGATATGGAGGTATGACTGTTTATATCACTCCTCAAAACAAAATACAGCTTACAAGGCATTCTACACGGAAATTACTTTGTAGAGGATTTGCTATATCGATATAATTTATACAAACATTTAATATTGTTATAATTTTATGAGAAAATGTTTTTATTACATATTGCAGAAAAAATGTAACAATTTATTCTTAAGTCTGCTGTAAGCTCACCTGGCGGAAGAAGCGGAGGAGGCATTTGCCTCATCTCCAGTCCGGGCGGTTCGAGGTACTCCTGGAGTTGGGGAGGTGGCATCATGGTTTCATTATCGCTATCAGAGTCACTATCTCGACCAACACCAGGAGCAGCTCCACTACGCTTCAAAGCACTTAACCTGAACAAAAAAAAATACAATAAAAAATCATTAATTTTCCAAATGAATATTTTTTTGTAATCTACATGTACTAATATTATAAAGATAGAGATATATATCAGGAATAATTTATATATACTTTTTTGGACGCAGTCATTATCTACACGTTACGTTTAGAAAATCACGAGATTTTAGGAATATGTATGCTCATCATATGCTGATTACACGCTGCACTTCTGTTTAACCCTTATCATAGCAGTTGTAGCACCGTCGAAATATTGTGAACTCTATAAAACTATTATCAAAATTATACGTGTCATTATTACACAATACCTAGCGTTTAAATCTGCGGCTCTATCCCTTTCCCTCTTCCTATGCACTTCCTCCATCTCTTTCATGAAGTCGTCTATATTTTGTCCGGATAACGCCAACATTCTCTGTTGAAGGGAAGTAGGCTTCGGTGCAGTAGGTGGAACTAGCGGCGGGACTCCTCCTGGCGGACTTGCCGGACGGTCATCTTCTATCGCTTCCCCATCATAGTTGCTCATCAGGGGCAGTGTATTTTGTGGTATAGCATTAAGAGGAGCCTGCAAATATGCAAAGGTTTTTAATTCTTAGTATGAATGGCGCTCCACAGTTTATATACGATCTGTGATTTACTGATGATTTTTTATTTATTTTAGTATGAGTAGTACATAAGAAAATCTGATCAGCTTTAGCAGATATTGAATAACATATATTGAACAACACACACACAAAAATATCGACCATTTAACAAATCCTCCATTTGCAAATTTTAACATTGGACTAAAGGTATATCAGTAGGAATATAAGAAAATATTCGTACTGATACTAATATAAACAATTTCCTTTCTCTTATATTTACTTATCAACACATAAAAATCTGAAAATGAGATAAATATGCCAAAAACAGACGTATTTAACACAGGTATATTTAATTTTTATATTTAAATTATTTATTCCTAAAAAACGAAAATATAACTCACAGCTTCGCCTGGTGGACCCTCATCAGCCATGTCTGAGAAACGGATGTTCTTTTTCTCTTTCATGAAATCCACCTTAGACCGGAAGTCCTTCTTATTGTGTAACTGTTCATTTTTAGTGGCTTCTACGGCCAGCAACTGGAAGTCAGCGGGAGGACCAGGTGGAACTCCAGGTGGCTCTAAACCGGCTGGTCTTTCCTAAGGTAACATTACATTATTGTTAAAAGAACTCAGATGACCTTATCACTAAGTGATATTTTTTATGATCAAATCTTTGAATTTAATATACAGACTATTTTACTTTATCTTATGATATACTCTTTGTTCTACTTCTCCTATACATATCTTCATCCACTTTCCTGACACTTACAGATTGACCAGAAAAAAATATTCTCTGGTTTCAGAATGTGAAACAGTGTGTTATATTTTGTTCCCCTATTTGAATTATAAAAAGATCCCCAAGGAAATTTTTATAGTCACCCTGATGAGAAGAGTACACACAGAAAATAGTAAGATAAATATATAAATATATTTAGACTATTATTACTACTTCGGTTAGTGTACATGTAAAATATGTATTTTCATAGATCTCACTCTGTAAGCAGAATCTTTCTTCAATATTGGCTTGACAGGTACAGAAGGGTATCCAATGTCCAATGGCAATGGAATTTGTGATGGTACATTGCTGTAGATAATATTTTCAGGGATCTGCAAAAAAATGTTTTTTTTAAAGAACATGTTTCAAATCAATCTATTTAATTATAATGACTACAACTCTCGATCAATTCAAGTGATAAGAATTTCTTAGCATTCCATGGATTCACACCCTGGGGTCCCTGTCCAGTGTACATCTGCACTCTCTTTTACTATTCATGTCGATCTCCCAATCAAATTTGGTACAATCCTGTTAATACAGCTTTGGATTCTGGACAGCTCAACGTTATTAACTGATTACTGGGAGTTTTTGCTGGTAAACTCTTCTATCTACTTCTACAGTGTACATACTAACTATACCATAAGTAGAGAACAGACTATCTTGTCTTTTGGTATAGCCCTTATATTTTTCTAGGAACGAATTCCTTATGAGTTTTTTATTGGTATTATTTAAATTCAACATTAGACATAATAGTTTTTATTTTCATTAAGAGATAATGGACTGGTCTGTGTGATCCATATAAGCTGGCTATTGGGACAGTGAGTCTATCATGACAAATTCATTAGAATTTAATTATGTTGGTGTCCAGATCGCTGCGAAGGACCACCTACCATTGTAAATTGCTAGCCATATAGACATCATACTCCGCTACTAATTATCCCCTTCCCCTAGACATCACCACACTGACATTTCTCATCTCGACAATTTATACTTACTTGTAATGTGGGTAATGGAATATCGTCGACTTGTACAGACTGTGCATGTTTTACAGATTCATAATATGAAATCAAATGTGCTTTCCTCTTTTCATATTCCATTTCTTGGCGTTTTAAGTCTACCCATTTCTCAGAATCGTCTTTATCCTGTATGAGGAAAGAAATATTAAATTATTATTATGATATAAAAGAAAGGCCTGTGCAACTAATATTATTAGACAGGATATCATAAACATCCATTTTAGAAAAGTGCAAAATAATTGGACCTGTTAAAATAATATATTTTAATGTACTTAAATGTTGTAATGTGGTGAAAATTTTAAAGTAGAGATATTGTGGATATTGATGAAGATATATATTAGAATGAAGTAATGATGATAAATAATGAATTAGTAGACAAAAACAAAAATATACATCTCTTGATTGTATTCAGTACAGATTGTCTATTGGTAACAATAATAAATCTCCAAACTAAATTTGGTAAAACATTACTTACTAATTACATTATAAATTCTTTTTTGATCACAGTTTATAAACTATTAGGTTGTTTGGAAAGTAATTTAGTTTTTTCCTAACTTAAGATTTAATTGTATTTTTTGCTCTCAACTTTACACTTAAGCCGTATAATTTTTATATGCTTTGAGAGCTCATATAGCAAGGCTTGTGTGTGAAAAATTCCAATTAATTATGCGCAGTAGTTTTTGGTTGGTGCCCTTTTAAATATGGAAGGCCGGTTGAGACTGATAAAGGCATTGGTTGATGCGTACTGGCGAATAACAACACTTATGACATCCCAGGCTTTTCAAGTGGTCACAAATTGTTAAATTCGATAAATTTAACCTCAATCCGATCTCACGTGTTGTGTTATTCGCCGGTTCGCATCAACCAGTGGCTTCAACCAACCTTCCCGAAGGTGGTGCATCTTTGACATCAAAATTGCCGGATCGAAATTTAACGAACCAGTTCTGGCACTGGCGTACTGTTAACACACCTCCACAAGCGTCGGTCAATTTCTTTCTGGCTTGAACAGCATTTTTGCCCTTTCTGTAGTAAAACAGTAAGATATGTCGAAAATGTTGCTTATTCCTCTCCATATTTAAAAGGGCACCAACCAAAAACTACTGTGTAGAATTAATTGGAATTTTTCACACACAAGCCTTGCTATATGAGCTCTAAAAGCACATAAAAATTATACGGCTTAAGTGTAAAGTTGAGAGCAAAAAATACAATTAAATCCTAAGTTAGGAAAAAACTAAATTACTTTCCGAACGAACTAATATATATGTAGTATGATTCAGAATTCTGTTCAGTTAGATAAAAGTATTAAAATGAATTTATTTTTACTTACATACATTTTGAGAACCCTATCAAAGGTTTCTCTTAGCTTCTTTCGTTTCTCTTTTAGTACTTTCTCATTTAGTGGTGAAGGTTGCAATACATTATACTCTAAAATATATAATATAAATTAAATTAATATTGCAGGATTCAGACTGAATCAGGTAATTGCAAAGATTACAAAATAGAAAAATTCCAGCGCCATTTTACTTTACATAAAAATCAGTCTCACTATTACAGAATTAGATGTGAAGAATTTATAAAAGAAAATTAGTAGAAAAATATTAAAGTATTTAAATACCCATTTCATCAATTTTCTGCAACTCCTCTAATATTTGTGTAGGGTCTTTCATTTTTAGCACAGCTGCTCTTACCATTTGTCTTTGCCTTTTATTTTTCTTCAACTCTTTTTTCCTTGCTTCTTTTCCTAAAAATAAAAAAAATATTTCAAATAAATTCCTACTGTCTATTTACCTTTTATTATAATTGATACGGCAAACAAAATAATTGTCCATACGGTATCTGATAATGGAACACATGAATTGCCATTCTGGAGGATGATAATATCACACCTCCACATACTGTAATTTCAACCTTATTCCTTCAACCAAATTACTCCAAACAAAACTATTTGTTTTGTGGCAGAAATAACCAACTCTGCACATCAGTATTTAGGATAATTCAAGAAAACCAGGGACTGCTACTTTCCCAACATAAGGTGGGGAAGCTACTTTTAATCGAAGTCTATTAATCTCACTTCCTTGCTAACTTTTTCCTTAACATTTTACGCCACAGTAATATGTATTTTCTTCCCCTCATCTATGTGGAAATCAGTCTCTACCCTTATAAATCTCACATTATATTATTTAAGTTAAATGTGATAACTATTCAACCATTATCTCCAAAAAATCATACACGAAGGATTCTTACTACTTTCACATGTATTTTAGTAATATACATCAATATTTGGTTTTGGATTATTTTTTGTCAACATATTTTCAAGTGAAAGATAACCTTCAGACTTAAACTTAAACTGCCTAATCAATTCTTTTTTGCAAACTAAAATTAATATTTTGTAATAAATAAATTTTTTTAATCTGAACTTGTTGTTTAATAGATGTAACAAGACATTAATGCAGATAATTATTAAATTCTACTTACTTGCTTGGTCTGTTGGATTCATATATTTACCACTTTTAGTGGTATTAATTGATCGACGGCCCATGATTGTAAATTAAACCCTTTAACTGCTAAATTTAAGGTAATTAAATAAAGATTCTGATTCGAATGAATACCGAATGTAAATAGATAAAATTTTACAAATACAAAATTATAACAATTTCATTATGACATTTGAACATTTTTTTTAAAGCTACTTCAGGGTTACCAGATATCACCATCGTAGTGTAACCAGTTTTAAATTCATTATTATGCTAAAATTGAAGTGACAAAATTTTGAATCAAAACTTTACTCTGAGACTCAGGAACAAAGAGTTGTTATTATCTCTACCTTAAAATTGCTTTATTAAAAGTTGTCAGTCGCAAATTGCATTATTTGTTAGGCCCGACACTCGTCGAAATAACTTAAAGCTCAAAAATGTCTGTTATACCCAAACTGATTTCGAAAAAATGTCGAATCAATCTTGCCTTGCTTACATTTAGGTGTTATAGGCATACTGATTCAAAAAAAAAGTCGAATCAGTCTTGCCATGCTTAAAGGTCTATTGTCATACTATATAATATTATCTTATCTGTACAGTGAGTGATAATAAAATTTTTAACGATTATACATTTCACATACAAAGACTACACTACTACTCTTAGATATTTATGGAAATATGCTGTTACACGTCTAACAGCACGTTTTCATAACAGTCTACTAGATAGACTTTCAATGAAATTACTATATATAGTACTTTTCAGAGATGATGAGGTTGTGTGATTATCTTTTCTTTTTTCTTTGGCAAGAGGCTAGTGTTGCCTATTATGCCACTAAAAACAGGAAACGAGACGGGATAATGGAAAGGAACTGTGATTATCTTAGAGTCCATTTTATACTGGAATAATACGAGGACAACACCAATCCAAAATTTAAAACTATCCAGTAGCATCGTAATAAAGGATATATTACGAAGGTAGGTACTGGATAGTTTTAAGCTATTGCGGATAGGAATAAAACACGATTAATTTTAAAAATAGATATCGTCACTTATGAACAATAATAGATTAAATTATTTTTCTACATCTTTATTTTTTAGGTTCTTTGGCCTGCGAGTGCCTTTTTTATATAACAAATTGTTTTTTATTGAAAAATTAGAAAAAAAAATTATAATTATTCGATTAATTTTAATATTAAAAAAAATGTATGTTTTAATGAAATATCGAGTTTTCAATAACCCATTATTTTTTTCACGTCCCCGCGTTCTGCACTGCAAGTAAATCGTCTATATAGATTCAGATAATGCTGATGAATTCCATTCCTGTGCACTACCACAGACAGATACTGCCAACATTTTAATTCATGTGACTTTCTGTTTGTATTAGTATTTTCTATAAATATATATTATTTATTGTGTATTTATTTAAGAAAAGTAAATTCTAATAAATATGTCTATCAGTAATTTAGAACTATCTAAAATAGGTACTATCTCAACTGAGTTTAGATATAGATGGCGCTTTGTGTGTTGTCCAGTTATTAATTTATTTATATAGTACCATCCACAAGTCATGCACCTATGTCCTAAATAAAATAGATAGGTATACCTACCAACGAACTAATTTTGTCATGAAATCGATGCGTGAACGATGATTCATGGGTTTATGCTCCGTTTTTATACCCCATGCGTAGCCGAATTGACTCATTTTGGCTGGAAATAAAACGCTTGAAATACTAAGGTAACCTACCTGACTAACAAGAACAGTAAATTTTTTGTTATACTGAATATAAAATTGAAAAGAGAATTGATGGTAATAGGGACTACTGGTTTCCATTGATTTTCCATATCATATAAAAAATAACTTATTCACTTCGGACATTTTATAAATGTATTTTTTTTTGTATTAATAAGTATTTTTTCTCTAATGCCACGTTAAGCTCAGCCGTCATGCTCATGGTCCCATCCTGTAATAGTACCGTCAGCGTATAGGTACCTGCATACCTATACTGTATGCGCATGCAGTTGCACCATAACATACTCATCAATAATAATAATAATAATAATTTATAATAATATCTCAGGACAATTCACACAGAGCAATCTAGTCCCAAGCTAAGCTTGTGTTATGGGTACTAGACAACTAATATATATACATGGATACATTTTTTTTGTAAATAAATACATATTATACATAGAAAACACCCAGACTGATACAAACAATCATACTCATAAATACAAATGTTTGTACCATGCGAGGAATCGAACCTATGACCATCGGATAGTAAAGCGGTGTACTAAACGACTAGACCACTGAGGCTGTCAAAAAAATACTATGTAGGTATTATTTAATGTTAGCCTGCTACTTATCTCATCTTTAATTTTTATAGGTGACCGTGTTGATATATATCTAATAGAGTAGGCATGTTGCTATCAATGGGCCAATAGTCCCCATTATCAACAATCCCCTCCTCCACGTGTGTGACGATATTTACTACCTACTACTATTATTTGCGACTATGGGAATGTACTTATAGAAATTGATAAGTAGGTAAATGGGTAAACGGAATCAGTAAACCATTACGTAAGTTTATTTCATCAGACTTCAGGCATCAGAAACGAGACAATTAGATGTCTACAATTTACAACGTATCTACAAGTTTACAGAGAAATTTAACTACTGAAATGATTGACTAGTAAATACTAGACACCTACCGATCGGTACCGTCGATAGGTAGTACCGTTTGCACTTTGCATCTACCTCATTTGCCTACCTATATAATGTGAATCGCAATATTTTGCAGCTAGTCTGTATTTACGCGAGACAGACGCTTCTATTTGTCTCGTATCACGTATACTACGCCATACGCACACTAGTATAATTTTACGAGACATCCACTACTCACTCGTTTCATTCATATACCGAAACTAGACCTCTCTTTCTATCTCATTCAATCTAACCGAAATTGTACGAGTGTGAAAGCAACAACAAATTAGATACTACGTAATAGCGTTTGTTGAACCGATTTGCTGCGCGTCGTCGGTCGAAGTCTTGCTCGTGCCGCCTCGTATTCGCTCCCTCGCGCAGTGTCGGGGAACGCGCTCTTCTGAGCGTTTGAGTTTCGAGTGGCGACGTACGCTAGCGTGTGTGTCTTCATTATTGATGCAAAACTTCCACGATGGTAGATCATAACGAGAAAATATTACAGGAATTACAAAAGAAAAGTGGAAATAATGTGTGTGCCGATTGTGGAAGCGAAGGTACGTTGTTTGTCGTTATTTTTAACCATTATATTGGTAATGTTTTCCTCGTGAAGCGTGGTATTTCCATGGGGTGAATAGGCGGGGGGCGTAAGTGCGTCCATGCTTTGGAGTTCAGTGACCTCAGCGTAAAATGCATTCAATGAAAACAAATCATCGAGGAGAGCATTTGTGCATGCAATGTTGGTTGAAGAATGCAGACAGAAATACGTATTAAAGATAGGTACATCATTAAGTTTGTTCCGGTTGTGTATACCTACCTACCTACGCTAATTGAAAATTGATTTTGTGTGACCAATAGCATTCTACGACGCGACGAAGATGTTTATGTGTTTGTTTTGTTTTGTAAAACATTACGCGCGCCGTTCATTTCTTTATGAATGATTATTTACTACGAAATGATTTGACCTAGCTCCAGTACAGTGGTTTAATTTTGCAGAATTAATACTATTTATTTAAGTATACATAGAGTAGGTAACTTGAGGTACATTTTATAACAGAGGTTTTATTGTGCCTATAACTAAACAAAAACGTTTTTGGCATTCGGTTCGGTTCAGTACGGTTGTACATTGTCCTGCTGCTGCAGGGTACGGATCTATCCACTCTGCTACTATTACGACGGCCAAGTGGCTTGGTATAGTGTCATATTTTGAGATATTCTTCTAGTGTCCGGATTTTTTTTCCATCATGCTAACGTATGAGTAGTGATTTTATAATGTCAGTATATATAGGTACGTATTCTACATCTACTGTCGTATCTATTTTATTTTCCAATAGTAAAGTCATACATCAGTATCTATACTCAGACAGTACAGAGTATTCGTGTGAGTGAGAGTGACCTAATTTTACTCTACATTTCAACAGCGTGTATGGCGCATTGTCGAAATCTAAACCGAGTTTGCTATTTGCTCCAAAACGGACGTAGATAGCTGTAAAAAAATAATTAGACTTACTTAACTTCTATGAAGTTAGGCAATTCAGATTTTTTCTGGATGATGATGGAAAGGTGCACCCATTTGCGCTAATATGTTAGCGGGGCAACAGTGGAGGATGATAAGATGAACATTATGGCAAATTCACCTGGGTTTCCAGGAGGGACCGCGTGGAGGTCGACCTGGCATATGCTACGTTGGCAATAAAATTTGACTAGCAATGGGGTCACTAGTACTCATTTCTAATAATCCTCTCGCCCATACACGCGCTCGTCAATGTTATTAATAAATAAAAAAATTAGATACCATACTCATTACGTAACAATTATTAACAATTCTTAAATAATTTATTATATAAAACAAAAATATATCTTCACGTTTGTAATTCTAGACGAGGTAGTCCTCCACCGTGCATTTCTCAATTTTTTTTTTCCACGTATAACAAATTTTGGAATCATCTTCCAGCATTGCTATTTCGGAACCGATAGGCTGTTGAAACGTTCAAGAAAAGAGTTTATTCCTTTTTAAAAGATCGGCAATTTGCAATTAACTTGGGTGCGAGTGCTGATGGGCGTTGTTAATTATATACCATAAGGTGAGCAGCAAGATCGTTTGTCCCCTGTGCTATATAAAATAGCATTTTCAAATATCGTCGCTTTGATGAATAAAGCCAATTGGCAATTCCACATTTCGCTGAATATAAATATTCCTGCCATTGTTAATAATGTACTATATCAGGTCGACAATAGACCAGACCTCATGCTCATCTTATCATTCTCCACTGGTGTCGCTGGGTGTCATTTTTTCAATTTAAATATATACACAGACCTAAATATATTACGAATCGACAAATATTTTGCAAGTGCATTGTCTTTTGTTAAATACCTGTATTTATGAATCGCAGAACCGATTATTTCAAATGCGAATTGCTCACAAATGCTTTACATACTTACATACAACACCTTTGAAATAAACTGTCAAATATCCAGACAAACAAATATTGAAAAATAATGTAGAGAAATTTAGATAGGTAACTTAAATTTATTTTGACTCTATTTTAAAAAGTAATTAACCCATTAGTTTTATTTTTGGTCTTATACAGGTAGGTATTGAAATCGGTTTGCAGTTGGAAAGATTTCTATGTTTACCAATATTATAATGAGACATGGCAGTTAATTTACAGGGTACGGGACAGGACTTAGAAATAACTTGTCACCAAGATAATACTTTTTAAAAATAAAGGTGATAAACATGTTTTCGTATATATAGGCAGCAATTACAATCGATTCATTTACTATAATTGGGGTGTCACCGAATTGTTTCCCACCCCTGGTAATTAAAAAAATTTTGAATAAAATTTCGTTGCAAAATATGTCATATTTGCTATAGACCTTGTAAATTAAGTAATAATCATAGGATATGGTTTTCTTTATAGCGAATTTTATTAAAATACATTCAGCCGTTTAAGCATTATTGAATAGTGAATATCCTTACAAAGTTTTGCATTTATATACATTGTAATTAATTACATAAAATTCCATATTCATAACATGTAAACGATTGTTTTTCTCGAACTAAGGGAATAATAATAATAATAACACACGGCAATTCACACAGCGCCTTCGAGTCACAAACTGAACAGAGCTTGTACTCTGGCGACCAAACAAATAATAGAAATACTTAAATACATTTGCTTGTAAGTATATATGTACGTAATGCCTACATAGAAAACATCCACGCCAATACGAACAATCATACTCATATAGACAAATGTTTATACCGTGCGAGGAATCGAACCCTACACCATCTGCGCCGAGGCCGAATGTATTAATAATGTGTAATGCCGCGGTATAAATACCATTAATTTTAATACCACGTGACCTGTACAGTAACAATTTTATCTACAAAAGCAATTTAGTCTATGTCGCAAATCTGCAAAATTTAATTTGGTCTACTGAGGTACCTACCTGTTTTGTCTACAGTTTTATTTGAGTTGTTTACCGCGAACTTTATCAACGTCGCAATCTACGTCAATTATCAAGGAGGTTCATGAGGTTACAACCACAACAGAATAAGAAATCCTTTAGAGGCTTCAAATGTTTTATTGCGTATTACAAATGCTACATTACCTGCACCAAATTTTACCTGATACGGATAGGGGACCAATCACAATGACAGTTTCTATTGCGAGTGCACTTTTTGTACGATATTGGCACGGCAACTAAGTTGTCGACATACCTGATAGAAAGTAAGTGGTAGCCGTTGTCTATATACATGATCATCATTGCGGGTATTACAAAATACGAGTAGATACATCACGACCCCTGTGGCGTGAGTTGCCATTCATGAGAACTAATCTCATGAATGGCAACGTGCGCCACTAGCGTCCTGGAGTATTCGTCTATATGCCTCCGTAACTTTTAATTTCACCATTACCTATATCTCAGTTAGATCTTAAGCTGCTCCATATGTTCAGCGGGATTGGAGTACCCTCTGCACTCACCCCCGTTTTTGTGAAATAAAACTGTATAGGCCCTTTTTCTAATAGTTAATAGTGTGAAAAAGCTATATTTTGTCTGGAACACAGTTTGCAAATCTAGCTGTGATTTTAAGTTAGGTGATTGCGACATTACTTATACAAAGTCTCTCTTTTCTGTATTAGACGTTGATACAGTTACTAATATGACCTTAACGACAGTCGGACAGTTGTGGGTATAGACTTCTCCAGCCATATTGTCACAGAACAATTTCTGCGGCAATTGCTCAATTGAAATCTTGAATTGTGGACATTGATGAGATATATGTACTATATGTCTGTCTAGTTTGGTTAGAATGTCCTCTTCATTCCAAATCCAGAACTTTTGCACAACAAACAGTAATCGTAACAGAATCGTCTGACATGACGTAGAATACAATGCAATATAATGCAAATTATTAATTAGCAGCATATAGTTCGTTTTCCGCGGATTTTTCTTCCCAGTAAGGTTCAGGTGGAATGAACTCCCTGCCGAGTTTTCCAGAACAGTACCGAATAGGAATTTTTATAAAGACGTTGACGCACGTGACTCACCTACATTCTCGAGCCTAAGTTACAGTATCCGCTCGCCATAAAGCGGATGGATGTCTATATATTTTTTATGTAATTGGTATTGCGTACAAGCTGATGGTCCACCTAATAGTAAGTGACACGGTAACCGTGATGACCACATTTTATTGACTTTGAACGTGAATTTTATTGAACGTTCATAACTGTTACAGGACTTGATGTGTTAAAATCGTTTTATAAAATTAAAAAGCAAAAAAGCGGACGTTCCACTATACACGTATGGAAAGTAGTAACGTCCGCCTATAGATATGACCAACATCATGCACGTAGCACGTCACACATTAAAGAATGTCGTCTAAGGCACTCCTCATGCGTGATCTTTAATATCAGTGAGAAACATTGGCACTGGCTTTTTCCCTCCAAACCCATACATCAAACTAGTTGAGTTACATAAACTACTACTACTACTCTTTTGTTTTATTCCACTTACGTTTAGACACTTAGGAACCATTCAGTGCACATTAACTTTATTGAAGTCGTATTCTAATAATACGTATCCCAAATTACTTTATTAAATCTACAGCTGCAGTACTTTACTTTCAGAATAAGCAATTAATTAAGATTAAAAGTGTAAAGCAAATGTTGAATCCCTATAGAGGAATATTCAAAGATGTCTGCAGTTATTTTCGAAAGTGAAAATGCAAACTTTGATGCTAGACAGTGGTGATAGTGCCAAGACGTCATTGCGTCGGTATGCGATGGTAGAAATGAATGGATAATGACAAGTCTGTATTCGATAGACTACTTCGAATAAAAAAACTACGTTTTACATAAAATAGTTGTATTATTTTTCTTATCCAAAACGGGAAAAACAGTTCAAAGAACTAAGTGTTCGGTTTGAACTTTGTTGTTTGTATGTGTGTGTATTACGAAAGATTGAGCAGAAATTATTATCAGAGATATGACGCAACGCTGTATGTTTCATAGAAAACAAACAAACACTACATGATTCTGAAATCAAG